CCCCAGTGACTCCATAGAAGCAGTATCTGTCCCTGAACCTGAAACAACCAACAAGATGAAGAATAAGACTGATTGAAGAAGAAAGATACGGTATGCTCTGGAGATTAAGAAGAAGAAAGTTAAACCTCCTTTCAAGTGGATGGAGTTGAAATGGACCTCTGCAATGTGACTTCATCGCCCCACACGCCCTTCTTGGACATGTTGTTTACATACTCGGAGAAGTCTTTCGGAACATCTTTGCTTCTTTTTTTACTCGAGTCCATTTCGATCAATACTTTGTAAGATTTTGGACTAGATTTAAGCTGAGAAAAACAGAGTTCATCAATTCATGTTAAAGAGAAAAATAGAAATCTCCAAAGTTGAAAAAGTTTTCAAGATTACCTGTTTAACTATTCTTTCTCGAACTTTTTCATGAAAATCGGAGCTTTTGAAGAGTTGATCAGCTAAAGAGCTAAACTGAAACAGTATTAAAAAAGATTCTTCAGGGTATGATCAAACATCATTGAAGTTGATAGAGTATACTTAAGGGATTTCAGAAACATTTATTACTTGGCAATTTCCATCACTTTTAACCTTGGTCTCGGAGAAACCTTTCCATTCTAATCTGAAAACAAAATCCACAAAATAATATTACATATTATATGTACTGTATATAGTTGAGTAATCGGGTAAATAATCAAACAAGTATAGAAAGTAGAATCGATTGTTACCTAGCTTGAAGTCTTTTTTGTGATCGTCAGACATTATTGATTGCTTACGCCTCTTAAGAGGATAAAAACTTGTTCGAAACAAAGCTTTTTCCTTGTGTAAGAAATGATTAGTGCGGTTGATTTGTATTTATGGATTGAAAAGATGGGTTCGTTCATTATGACTTTATTAGGGTTTTTGTGGGCCTAAACGATGTAAGATTAAGAACACGAGTTTAAATTACACACACAACACACATTAATTAATTCAACCAGAGTGAGAATCTAGCTGAAAACTGGTAGATATAACAAAAAGAGCTCAAACAAGAACATCTTAGAGGATTATTAAGCTTCCACAACAAACTTAGAAACACACACTCCTTTACATGGCATCTCCATGACAAAGTAACATATTGTAATGAAACGTCCACATTTTTATTAGCCCCAAACTTTGGTAAAAATTGTCTGAAAAAAAAACTCCCTTTCTTTCACCATTGGAACAAAGGATTTTTAAGCTTCTTCTTCACTTGTTCCACCAATGCAAGAAATCCTTGCGCCGGTTGATTTTCTTCTGAAGCTGGAGGAGTCCATAGAGCAAAGCCTCAGCGGTTGGAGGGCACCCAGGGACATATATGTCGACCGGTACAATTCTGTCACAGCCTCTAACCACTGAGTAGGAGTAGTGATAGTATCCACCTCCATTGGCACAGCTTCCCATTGATATCACCCACCTTGGCTCTGGCATTTGGTCATAAACCCTGTCATTTTTTTCCCAGAGATTAGAAATCGGAACTTCTTCAAACAGGATACACAAGAACATAAGCTTTAAACCACTTGAGTTGATCAAGACTGTCCCTCAAACCATTAGTTCTGAACTTATCTCTAAATACTAGTCCTCACTACAAGTTTATATAGTACAAGAACTAATCTACACCGACTTAGCAATCATTTCTCAAATGCATCTAATTTGCTTGTCTCAGTGGTTGATATTTGGAAAACCTGTGATTTCTTGTGGCTATCAAACAAACTTGGGATGTTCTCTACCCCAATAAGTTAACGGTGTTGATTGGTTCTTATGCGAGTAAGCTAAGTTGCCTACCAAAAACCATAGACATGCATTTCTTAACAACAGGATTCTCAGCTAAAGAACATAAGTTCTGCAGTTGAATGAATGCTTCATTACATCAAACAAGAGAATAGGAATCCTTTTAAGAGTGTAAGATATCAATTTCCTTTTTCTAGTTCAACACACCTTGCAGAAAAATGTGCATCAGGTTTCAAAGACAAGAAAGCAAAGTTATCACACAGGATTCTAATCAGTCAGCATAAGGAACTACTACAAATTAGGTAAAAGAAAACATCCGAAACAACGAATCTCCAACCACTAATTAGTAAGACCAAGTTCGATAAATTCAAGCACGATAGCTGAAAGGACATTAACACATGTTTCCCTACTCAAACCAAGCTACACAATCTGAAAGCCCCATCTTCCCACCAAAGACAAGCACAGAGATTTACATGAAAAAGATATCACTCTCTGCATCCCTGAATGATAGAACACTCCCAAATTCACGAATTCGAACAAAAAAAATTCAAGCAATCTGCGCTACATAGGGAATACAAACGCTAATGCTTCCCAGGTCAGTCCTATATTCATACAACAACTCTCAATTTGACACAGACCTAGCATAACAATCAGAATACATGAACCCTAAATCGCTAAAACAGAGCAAAATTCCAACAAAAATCCCCAATTACATTCTCAAGAAAACCTAATTTAGGGACCCCTATCAAACACGAAAACTGAACAAATCTTCGAGATCCGAGGATTCAAAGGGAAAGGGAGAGAGAGGCGTACTTGCGAAGAGCCGGAGCCATCTTGTTGGTAAGTGTCCCAGCGACAATCATACAATCAGATTGACGAGGACTAGGCCTGAAGATGATACCGAATCGATCGAGATCGTAACGAGCAGCACCTGTATGCATCATTTCGACGGCGCAACAAGCGAGTCCGAAGGTCATAGGCCAGATCGAACCCCTACGAGCCCAGTTCATTAGATCATCGACCTTAGAGATCACAAATTCCGCCGCCTTGGAAAGACCCGGCGGAGGAGCGGATGTCGAAGGAGGACCTGGTCTTGTGTAGGAAGCCGGTGAGGTCGAAGGGGAGAGAGACGGAAGAGACGTGTGGAGGTGAGAAACGGCGACGGCGCGTGTAGATTGGAGGAGGAGAGGGAGGCGCGTGGCGGTGTTTCGCGTAATCATGGCCATTGATTTGTGTTTTGAGTTTTTTTGCTCTCGTCGTGGAGTTTGTAATAACCACGGGACTCTCTATAGCATTTACTAAAAACAGGAGAAGAACTAATTTATATAAGGATAATTAGTTTTTGTTTTTAACATTGTTTTCTTACTTTTTTTTTTACAGTAATTGATCCATTTTATACGATTATTTTGTTAGAAGCGTGTTTTAATGTTATTCATAAAATGAAAATGTTTTCTTTTAGTATATAGTTTTCGGCTTTTAGATTTATAACTAGATTTTTGGCATACGAGAATAAAATATTTAAAAATAAAAAATTGTTTTTTTATAATATATGGAAGAACTTAAAAAAAACGGTATATCTTCTATACTGATAAATATATTTTATCTTATAAAACTGAATCTGCATGACATTTAGATTGAATATAAGCGTTTTAATATAAATCGAATACGTTTGAGATTATGGTATTCTCAAACTTATTTGAACTCATCAAATCCAAAAAATATCTTGTTAGTATGTTAATCTTTTTAAATTAAAAATCAAAGAAATCAGAGAAATTTTGAGAAATGCCACTTTTCAAAAATGCCACTTTTTCAAAATTATTTACTCATTATATCATTTATGTTTGGGTTAACTATGTTATACTAGAGTTTAGTTTTGAAGTTTAAGGGTTTTTAGGGGTCA